AAAAATATTTTTTATATTTAAAATGAAAAGCTATTTGGATTAGTTTTCTAGAAAAATAATTTATAATAGTTGAAATAAATGCAAAAAGACAATCTTTTTATAACTTTAAACAAGCTCAAAATAAAATACCAATTACAATCTCATTTACAAGAAGTATTTAGTTTTCAAATTCATTCAATAATCAATGGATCAGATTATTCAATAAATTAAAAAAAATAATTTTTATTTATAAATAAGATCAGATAAAATATTTTTTTAAGAATGAAGGAAGTAACTCAAATAATAGTATTTGTTTATTGATTTGAATAAATATAAGTTATTGATTTGAGTTCAATTTCAAACAATAATATTTATTTCTATTTTTGTATTAATTTAAATTGAGAAAGAGAAAAGAAATAAAAAATTATATATATTAAAAAAATTAAACATAAATATAACTAAAACATAAAAACAAATAAAAAATAATCTTAAACAGCAAACGGTCATTTCTGAATGTATAATCAAAAGTGAAAGGGAAAAGAATGAAATCCCCATCCAATACGTACCGTCGTATCGAATCAACGATTCGGGCAATCCGTTGGGACGCAGCATCTTCTCCTTCGTCCCTTCTGTATGCTTGCTAACCTCCACTTGCATTCTACCATGCATAATAAATTAATAATCATACGTTATTCTTATTATATTTACTTGAATAATACTACTAACTCTTGTATTTCAACACATACCCTATAAGTTTCAGGATTTTTCCATGTTCGTCCTTAATAGGAGCAATAGTCAGAAGGTTCCAGAACGTTGTTCCATCCTTCTTGTAATTCAATAACCTTCCACAATAACTCGTTCCCGCCGCAAGCGCTTCTCTTATCTTTGCCACGTCATTCGGATCCGTATCAGCTCCCTGCATAAACCGACTTCACCCATCCGACCCGAAACTCAGTTAGAAATAATTATTTTATAGTTCTGTAACTATTTATTTTAATAAAAAAAACTGAAATAATAATTTATAAGAATATTATAGTTTACTTACCAGTTTCTTCCTATGACCTCTTTAGAAGTATAACCCGTCATATTAAAAAACCCGGCACTAGCATACAGAATCGGGTAATCGGGTTTGGTAGCATCCGAAACAACAAAAGTTTGTTGAAAAGCCGATAGAGCATCTCTCAAATCCTCCGAAACTCTCGGTATCCCCCTACCGCCCTCCCTTCCGTCATCGGAAGACTCACCGGAGCTTCTCACCGAATTATTCGAGTCTCTCCTCGAACCACCACCACTACCGGAGCCTCGAACACCAACTTGTGGTTTACCGGTCTCCGAATCAGTTTTCAGCACTAATCCCCACTCCGCTGCTCTCTGCTCCGCAACGGAGCCTGATTCCCCGGATTTTGGCGGAGGTGTGGTTTCTTTCAGCGCCATCCAGGACGTGGCAGCGGGAACTTCATCGGAAATAGTAGAATCGCGCGTTGGTGGAGTCTCGATAGCGCGTGAGCCTGTCCAAGTGTTCCATGAGTTACTTGGATTGGGATTGGGATTCGGATTAGGATTCTCGTTGTTGTTCTCAGATGAAGATGGATTGAAGACTTCAAGTGAGCCACGATGATCTCTTGTAAATGGTTCCATCACTCTCACTTTCTGTTTCATTGTTATTCATAATCATACATAATTAGCAACTATACTATTAATTCATTATACAAACTATATACTCACTAATAGTAACATATCCAAATTGGTTAACTATAAATGAGGATCATGAGTATCAATATTTAAAGATATACATGCATATATTTGAGAAAAAGAGGGTAACAAATTAATGAACTAAGATTGAGATAGTGCTAGATGTTAAAATGGCATATTTGGAGTGAGGGACACTCAATTATAGAGTGAATGATGAGTTTTTAGGTAGGGTTTGGATCATGATTCTTTCTAAATTTGAGTTGCCTAAATTTTGAATTCGGATTTCTTTGCATTCATTAATTCACATTCACGCATTCAAAACATTAGTAGGACATTTTGAAAATACAAGTGTTTAATAGAAAAATTTAAAATATTAATTTTAAATTTAAAATGTTTGATCTTAATTGAACGATCATTGATATTTTGAAATGAGTGAGTTGAAAAAATATTGATTATAAATATATAATAAAAAAAGATAAAAGCTCCCTAACCATTTTTATCTTTAGGTCGGCACTAAGATACTAGGATTTCTAATTTTAGAAAATTGAAATCCATAAAAAGTGCTTTTCCTCATGCAGTGGTACGCTATTATAAAAAGTAGTTGCATTGCCATAATGTGGAAAGGGATTCAAATCTGTCATTTTAGCTAATTTGTAACAATGTTGGTTTTAGTTATAGTTAATTTAAAATAAAGTTATTTTATTTATTTATTGTTATAAAATAACTTGTGCATAAGTACATCTTGATAGTTGTTTATGGTCATTAATTAATTCATGGGATTTTTGGTATTAAAATGAGTGGATGAGGTGAAGTGAAAGAAGGCCTTTTAGGGGGGTCACAAATTATTATAAATGCCATCAAAGCTGAGACTACGACAGTGTATGGGTTGTTTGTTGATTATTTGTGTGTTGTCAGAAACACACAGTATCCACGAGAGCCATATAAGTCCCTAGAGGAGAAGACACTTGATAGAAACTATAATAATTTCACAACATCTAACTGTTTTTGTGAAAATATTTGATTGATTGTTTCTTCTTGTAAGATTGTAGCATTGAAAGAGATTTGACAGAAAGCTTTTCATTATCAATCTAATAAGCCAATAAGAAGAAACTCTTAAACTTACATGATTTTTTATATAAAGTTTTTTAAGCATTAAATGAAACGGTAAATCATAAAATAAAGTTGAAAAGTCATGGTTGCTAGATTGTAACTAGGAAGTACCTTGATTGAACTATGTTGAATCAGGAATTCAGAAACTAGAAGCTGGTTGTGGACTTGTGTGTATTCTGCTTATTCCTCAACAAATTCAAGCACACAGTATATATAAACAATGTAGAAGTTGGTTACTAGAAATAACTAACTGATAATGGTAGGAGAGGTGGAATGAATAATTGAAGAAAAATGAATAATTGTCTCAAAGGTTTGGGTTTCCATACCTATGTTTCTAAACTTCACATGGCTCTTGCTAGTGCTCTACTATTTTCTATTCCTATAACTGTCTTCACTTAGAAAAGACTAGATAGAGACATGGAAATTTTACAGAAAACCAAACCGTGACATATCCTATGTTGTTAACCTTTTAATGATTTATGGTATAAGTAATTGACAGACTGGAAAGAACAGAGAACGTGTAAACCTGCTTTTGAATGTGTGTATGAGGTTGTGGACTTATAGCTGAGGACAAAAGCAAAACTAGACAATCAAAAATGGCACCATATCTACTTATCACTAATGGGTCTACAGAGAAATATAATACTAATATGGTAATAGTTAGGGTGGAGAATTTAATTAATCAACCAATTAAAATAAGAGTATAACGGAGTGATGGTATAAATAATCTTGCATTATCAGCGACTAATAAAAAGTTATAATTGATACTAAATTATAAAATCAATTTTAAAATATCTTTGTGATTTGGCGGAATAAACGTCACTTATTAATTGGTAGTTTAAAATTTTATACCGTCAGTAGATCTTTTATTTTTTTTTATAAATAAACATCTATATGGTGTTAACATAGATGATTGATCTCATTGTTGAGTTGAACCAAATATGAAGTTGATGGATATTAATATAGATGGTGTCAATTAAACTTTCTTATAAGCATTTAAAGAACTTATTGAATCAATATGGTCAATAGAATGTAGATCTTTTAAATCATTTGTTTTCTTCAAATGTGGTAAGTAAAATTCTAGCTATTCTCCCTCCCAAGGGTAATAATGCAAGAATATTTGTTATTGACCAAGTGACATAAAAGGTGATAATATACTGATTCATTAACTTATAAATTAACGTGTAATTTTAGTAGAAAAAATGACGATAATATATAGAGGTTGATATGAAAGTTTAAAATTCATGGACGAATAATAACATTTATTAGGTTGATTTATCATGATAGGATAATGACTAATAAAAAAAAAATGCAACTAAGAGGACCATGTTTTTGTAGATATTCTAGAACAGATGTAAAACCTATTATACATGTTTTACTGTTTATCTTTTGTCTTTTACTATTTAAACTAATGTGGTTAAGTTGAATCTAAAAAGTTCTTATTTTTAAAACTAATATTAAAAAGTGAATAAATACTAATTTACGTATGAATTTTAATATTAGTAAAGATATGTCGTGGGCAAAATATCAGACAACCTCTTGCTATACATTTTAGATGTGGAGAAATAAAGAATAAATTATAAGAATTTTTTGAAATTTAAAATTTCGTGGCGGGGATGATACTACATATATGAGCAAGCTAATACAAGTTAACGTAAACATTGGTAGACAAGTTACTCCAAAATAGTTCTTCGCGAGAGAATTATAAAAGCAATTGAATATATGTCAAATATAAAAAGTATAATGTGTATATTTCTTCTCATACATCTTTAATCATTTTTAAATAGATAAGATTGTCTTTTTCTTTTTCCTTTTTTTTTTTTTTTTTTTTTATAAATATAAGTGAATTTTATAAGTGATCCTGGTGTTATCTAGTCTTAGTTTAATGTTTTATAAGTGAATTTTTGTTCATTTTTTTTTTCTTTTATTAGTTGATTGTATTGAATTATTATGTAATTTTTTCTCTTTTAATTTCGGCCATCTTTTCTTCTAAAAAAAAATACATATAAAATCAATTTTAAAATGTCTTAGTGATTTGGCGGGATAAATGTCGTTTATTGATTGATAGTATAAAATTATTTTATACTGTTAGTATATTTTTTATTTTTTTATATAAATAATTTAATTAATTAGGAAGGATTTGAAAAGTCGATTAGAAAATAATGAGGAGCGATTGTGATTGAGTTAATGTTCATTTAACCTAGTTTTCTGCAATCTCAATGGGACAGTCGGTTATTCCATGGAAACTCCTTGAAGGTCTGGGTGAGAGCTCTGGTTCGAAGGATGTCACTAAGAAATACATGAATTTGGAGAAGCAACCAAAGTCCTTTGTCGAAGTTATTGACAATGTATGCAACATTCTGTTAAGCCAACTTTTGAAGTCGTGTGTTAAGGGAAATAAGTTGGCCATTGTCATTCCGGAAGAGGAGTATCTGTTGGGCTTAAAAGCTTGCAAACATAATCTACATAGAGGGATCTTTTGGAAAAAAGGTGCGACTCTATTAACGGTTCAGAACTTAAAAAACAAGCTTCTGGCTATATGGAGTTCAATAGGAAAATGGGGGATTACTTCTCTAGGTAAGGGATATTTTGAATTTTATTTTTCATCAATTGAAGATGTTAGGCGTGTGCGATCCATTACTACATGGAACCTTAATCCTGGGTTATTAAAGTTGTTTCCATGGCCCAAAGATTTTAACCCTTATTTGCTCAAGCAATTCTCGGCCCAGGTTTGGGTTCACACTCATGGGCTGCCTCAGGAGTATTTGAGGCCTAAAACCGTGTTCGCTATTGCGAGTAATCAGTATTCCTTTGTGTACGGATTCTGCTTCCAACAAGTGCAAATTTGAAAGGTCTTTCACTCATTTTGTGCGAGTTCTGGTGGATTTGGAGTTGGCTAATGCACAACGGTATAAGGTTTTGGTGGAAAGAAAGGGCTTTGCCTTTTTTGTTGAACTTGAGTACAAGAATCTGCCGCAATTCTGTTTTAACTACTGTATGATTGGTCATTCTATTAACAATTGCAAGAAAATTGATGAAAATGGTGTTAATGGAAAGACTACAGTAAATTAGAAAAGAAGAGGAGATGATGCATTCATTGAAGGAGATAAAGTGAATCATTCTAAAGGCACCAAGAAAACTTATGTGCAAGTTAATGTGAAACCTAATGAAGGTGGGCCAGAAAAACCAATTGAAGTTGCAAGTTAACTTAACTTGGTGGATAATAAGGAAGATGATTTAGTTGTTGCGGAGGGAAACTCGAATTCATCAGAGCAGTTTGTCGCATTGCTGCGAGGAGGGGCCAGAAAGGACAGAAGAGTCACCACTGTTCGTTATTTATCCCAAAAGAGGGAAAGGAAACGATCAGAGAAAACCTACAAAAACGGGAGAAGACAGGTCATCGCAACCATGTCTCGAGTTCGGGAGTCGGTTACGCAAGGGGAAGGTATTAGCACCCCTCACGTCCGTCGTACTCGACGAGATCCAACTTATGTGGCATACCATCACCACGAAGAGGATTAACAACAGTTCCTCCGTGAAGCACACCCTTATTGTCAACTCTGGCAATCAATGGCTTGACCATAGTCCTCAGCTGTTCCTGGCCATTTGCCACTCCCTGCATCAACTCCATAAACTGAGCCATCCTGTCCCTCATCTCCTGCATCTCCGCTTGCACTTGTTCCATAACTCTGCGCTGATTCCCTCTTGTGGCGTACCGGTGATTAGTCTGGTCGTCTATCCTGAAACAATCTAACAAACCAACAGAGGTAAGAAAAATGGTTCCGTTGCACCTGCTATGCAAAAATGCTATGCAAAATGCAGACATGTATATATGCAACAGGGAAATTTCTCCTCGACTCTAGCTCCTGCGCGAACAACGAGACATAGGAAAACCATAACCAAGCATAGCACCAAATACCTCATATATACAAGAGAAGGCCAACAGGCAATGTACAATCATACAACTGAGTACAATGAATCCACATAAAGGACCTCAGCCAACAGGTCTGGTGATGGTCACTATAAACAAAAGCAACAAGCTACAAAGGAAAGGCAACGAGTACGAAACTCCTCCAACAACTCATGTGTCTCAGGATGGTCTGGTCTGACCAGTAACCCTTGAATGAGCGTCTCTCTCTGTCTGATAGTGGTGTGTAACCCCTCAACATAGTCTTCCCAAGATCCTTCACCAAAGACTTCCTCTAGCTTGCACCTCTTTGAATCAGCCCTCAGCTTGTAATCCTCCAAGGTTACCAAAGCTTCATTCAATCTGCAGTCACTATTACGTCTGAGTGAAGCTTCATCTGCAATCCTCTCAACCTTCGCCCTGAGCTGAGTCTTAAGTCTAGAGATCTGCTGCTTCAACTTATCCTCACGCTCCTTGTTAGTGGAAATAGTAGCATTCCACTGCTCATTGAACTTAGAAATCTCCAAATAAGCCCTATCCAAGTCCTTCTTCTTAGAAGCGAGAACATCACTGACAGCTTTCAGATCCAAACCCAAGCGTTCACGGGAACGAGTCTCCTTGGTCAAATATGTACCCAACCTGTTCACAAGCTCAGTCTGCCTCTTGAAAGAGTGCACAACCTCAATCTTCTCACTCCGGAGCTGAATTATCTCTTTCTGTAGCTCTTCATTAGCCTTCCGAAGCTCCTCTTTCTCAGACCACAACTGGTTGTACTTATGGATATCCATAGTGGTAGGTTCCTCAATCATGAGAGGATACAAAGGCTCTACAGACGGAAAAGGCATCAGAAACCTGGTAGTTCTCTCACGAATCCAAGTCAGGTAAGGGTCGTAGGCTCGACTGTTACTCTTCCCCAGAAAAGCTTTCCCTTTCCTGTAAACACTACTCCAAGCTCTCTCCACTCTAGCCAACATATCACCCTCCAACAATCCAGTGAGATACAGAGATTCCTGTATCTCCTCTTCCTTAGGAGGATCTCTCAGAGCGTACCTAAACTGCCTAACCAACAAGGATGGGTTATAATTGATGTAACCTTTCCTTCCGACCAACGAGACGTTAGGAAATCCACTGCAACTATAAACAATCTCTGTACCAAGCATATCTCTATCAAACTAGGTAATATTCTCAGCAGACAACCCCATCAACCTCTCAGACCATTCTGAAGTACCTGCAGTAGTAACGAAAGGACCAGATTTGGGGAGATGACCAGCAAACCACCTATACAGCAAAGGAACACAACAAGATACATTCTTTCCCCTCCGGTTCTCATTCTTATAGTGAACAGAATGATAGACGTCACCCAGAAGCGTTGGTATCAGATTCCCTGAAGCAAATACGTAGAAAGCATCTATGTCTACAAAATATGGAAAATTAGGGAATAGCACAATACCATAAATGCAGAGAGCTAAAATAGAATTAAACACCACCCAACAACCATCTTTGGAAAACTGTCGAGCTTTTTCAACCAGAAAAGATAAGGGGAACCCAGGCATTCCACTCCTCTCAGTCATTCCCTCTTTCAGCTCAGAAACGTCCAAATACAAAGCAGCAGCGAGCTTAGCTAGATCAGGCTCAGCATCAGAGTGATAGAGTGGCATCTGATCCAATATTGGTACCCTCAACAACGCAGAATACTCCTCTAAGGTAGGCGCCAGAACATAATCCGAAAAGGCAAAGCACCTAAGTTGTGCGTCATAGAATTGTAGCAGAGCATAAAGACCATTCATCTCATATACTGAAGGTTTACAGACGACACTCAGAAGTTTCCCATAAGATTCCTTAAAGTATTCCAACACTTTCCTATCAGCCACCGAGATCAAGCTCAATAAAGATCCAACATCAGGAATCGGGAGCTTATATGCCACTGTCTTCTTCAAAGGTTCCATGTCAGGCAAAAAGAATGAGACCACTAGAATTAAGGAGGAAATATGCACCTGCAACCTAAATACATGTTAATGAAAATGAAAATGAGTGTGCAAATGCAAATGCAAACAGGGGATCAAGATTGTTGTGTTGTTGATTGAGAAGAACCAGTGCTCCGCTTTGACAAGAACATAGCACTGTCACTGATAGGAACCCCTTGTATCAAGAACACAGATTCATACTGCAAAGAAAACCAGGTAGTCTGGAAGTCAAGGTTTCCTGTATAACCCAATCCTTCCCATAGGTATGGACCTATTACTGACAAGGTTCGGCATCCTATGCGTTCATCAGCGTCACAGACTTTCGAGAAACAATGATACATTCACCATTTCTGGTTTGGCATTATAATCTCCCGAAGCGGCCTTACTTAGCTGAATCACAAATGATCGGTCCCTAGAGTCGACAATCCTCAGATCCAAAATCCCCTCGAGTCCAAAGGGCCAGAAAAGAAATCATCAAAGAGAATCTCATCTGAGCGTGAATTTTATGGGAACTTGTGCATGCAAAGCATATAGGTCCTCCACTACTTTCCACTTCTAATGCTATGTTTGGACTCAAGCCCGGGTCCGGCTTACCTCTCAATGGAACATTCCCCCCCCAACAGCACAACAAAACTGATATATACAATGCTGAACGTAAATGCAGGAAAATAAAGATAAAGTACAACATATATATACAACACCCAACAGATAAACAACCAAGCGCTAGGATGACTCACATAGGGGATGTTCCTGTCCCCAGCAGAGTCGCCAGCTGTCGCATCGCTGCGAGGAGGGGCCGACAAGGATAGAAGAGTCGCCAACATTCATTATTTATCCCAAAAGAGGGAAAGGAAACGATCTGACAAAACCTACGAAAATGGGAGAAGACAGGTCATCACAACCATGTCTCGGGTTCGGGAGTCGGTTACGCAAGGGAAAGGTATTAGCACCCCTCACGTTCGTCGTACTCGACGGGATCCATGCTTTGTTGTCTATCTAAATGGGTGTTTACTATCTAAGCTACGTCTCAGGGACAAAAGAAAAGAAAAGAAATTCGATAGAGCATCGCCACTTTATGCCTACGTATTCCCTCGTGGAATGGGAAAGTCAGAGTCAACGTAGTTCGGCTAACTATGGGTGAAAGTGGGGAAGGTTGCTCGCCAAGATATCGTTGTCTTATGCCTACGTATTCTCATCTGGTATGAGAAATCAGAGCAAACGTAGTTCGGGCTAACAAGAACACCGGTTGGTTCAAAATGTTTTAGGCCCGAGTAGGGTTAAACCTCCGTTCTAGCAATTAAGGACGATGCCTGTTTGCAGTAGAACCAAAGCTTAACAACACTCTTTTTCTGAAAAAGGTTTTCCAAATTAAGATCCTGATGGATAAAAAGATTTGATGTTTATTTTTGTGTTTTTTAGACAAGAAGTGCATTGATTATGGTTTGTAATTCATGTTGCACTAAAGACTATGACCTAGGAGTGAATGCGTCGCATATCGCCCAAAGGGCGTACACTAAACACTCTAAGCAATTGAGGAGAAGCCCCCTAATCACTATTTCCCAAGTACTTAAGGCTCGTAACGTACAACAATCCTTAGCATTTATTATGTGTTTTGAAAGAGTTTTGAGATGAGAAGAGAAAGACACTCTAAAGGGAGACTAAGACTCAACCTAATGTTCTCATACAAAGTGTACCTATGATTGAGGTGAAAGGGAATGCTACCTAATGTTTTCATGCATGGGGTCAAGCCTAAGGTCTATCATAATCTCAAGAGATTAGAGATCCTAAGGGAACATGGCAAAAAAGACAAAAGAAGAAAAAGAAGAAAACATAAGAAAATGCAAGATGCAAATATGTAATGCACACTTAGAATGAAAGTGAGGGAGGAAAAAAGTGTGGGGTAAACACCACCACAAGCACATCTCAACCTCAAGCATGCATATGAAAGATGCAAAGAACCAAAAGAAAATGCACACAA